TAATAATAATAATAATAATAATAATAATAATAATAATAATAATAATAATAATAATAATAATAATAATAATAATAATAATAATAATAATAATAATAATAATAATAATAATAATAATAATAATAATAATAATAATAATAATAATAATAATAATAATAATAATAATAATAATAATAATAATAATAATAATAATAATAATAATAATAATAATAATAATAATAATAATAATAATAATAATAATAATAATAATAATAATAATAATAATAATAATAATAATAATAATAATAATAATAATAATAATAATAATAATAATAATAATAATAATAATAATAATAATAATAATAATAATAATAATAATAATAATAATAATAATAATAATAATAATAATAATAATAATAATAGATAGATAGATGCATTTATTGACAATTACATACTATAGTACATTTGATGTCACATTTTTTACATTTTGTTACAAAAATAAAATATAATCTTATTATTCACAATCTTTTACAAACAGATTTATAATGTTGATAAGATAAAAACATAAATTTACACACAGTTAAAATAACAACATACAAGTTAAAATGAAAACAAGTTAAAATAAAACATAAGACTTATGTACAAAGTTAAAATTGATATATTCAGTTTTGACTAAACAGAAGATAGTCTTTTACTGAATAAAAACAGTGCTCTAACAAGAATTCCTTTGCAGCTTTATGAAATGAGTTTATTGTCATGATTTTGACTGGAATTACACTACATTTGACAAAGTGGTTGTACAGATTTAGATCTATTTTGTTGTTTCGCGTAATATTAATTCGTGATAGTTGATTTACAAGATTCTCTCTGTTCCTAGTATTGTAGTCGTGATAATCTGAATGAGTATGGTTTTCAGAATAGTTTTTATGAATCCATAACAAAGCCTCAAAAATGTATAGGCAAGGTAGAGGAAGAATCTTATATTTCTTAAAAAGCGGTTGACAATGTTCACCATATACAGAACCGTCAATTATCCGAATTGCACTTTTTTGCATGCTAAATAACCTCTGTACATTTGCGTTACCCCAAATAGTTATACCGTAAGTTAGTTTACTATGGATAAGAGCAAAATATACAGTCCTTAGAGTGTGGCTATCTAAAAATGGTTGTAGTCGTCGTAATACAAATACTTGCGTAGACAATTTTCTACAAAGATCATTTACATGTGCCATCCAATTCAGGTTTGTATCTAGGGTAAGTCCCAATAACTTCACCGGTTGAGATACATTTATTAATTTATCAGAGGTAAATGTAATCTGTGTGGTTTTTGATTCATTCAGTTGGAGTTTATTTGAAGAAAACCACTGCTTGGCTTTTAAAATATGTTCGTCTTTGTAAAATTTTCCAACTCTTGAAGTAATCGTAGTATCATCCGCAAACATGAAGACTGAACCTGAATCAAATGCTGTTGGTAAATCATTTATATACAAAAGAAACAAAATGGGACCCAAAACAGATCCCTGAGGTACACCAATATTTATAGTTAAAACGTTAGACTCGCCATTTGCATAACTAACGAACTGCCTTCTATCCGTTAAATAAGATTTTAATAGGAGTTGAAATTTTCCCCTTATACCATAGAATTCAAGTTTGTATAACAAGAGCTCGATATTGACACAGTCAAAGGCTTTAGTCAGATCGCACATGGTAGCCATAGTACTGTATGTATATTAATAATAATAATAATAATAATAATAATAATAATAATAATAATAATAATAATAATAATAATAATAATAATAATAATAATAATAATAATAATAATAATAATAATAATAATAATAATAATAATAATAATAATAATAATAATAATAATAATAATAATAATAATAATAATAATAATAATAATAATAATAATAATAATAATAATAATAATAATAATAATAATAATAATAATAATAATAATAATAATAATAATAATAATAATAATAATAATAATAATAATAATAATAATAATAATAATAATAATAATAATAATAATAATAATAATAATAATAATAATAATAATAATAATAATAATAATAATAATAATAATAATAATAATAATAATAATAATAATAATAATAATAATAATAATAATAATAATAATAATAATAATAATAATAATAATAATAATAATAATAATAATAATAATAATAATAATAATAATAATAATAATAATAATAATAATAATAATAATAATAATAATAATAATAATAATAATAATAATAATAATAATAATAATAATAATAATAATAATAATAATAATAATAATAATAATAATAATAATAATAATAATAATAATAATAATAATAATAATAATAATAATAATAATAATAATAATAATAATAATAATAATAATAATAATAATAATAATAATAATAATAATAATAATAATAATAATAATAATAATAATAATAATAATAATAATAATAATAATAATAATAATAATAATAATAATAATAATAATAATAATAATAATAATAATAATAATAATAATAATAATAATAATAATAATAATAATAATAATAATAATAATAATAATAATAATAATAATAATAATAATAATAATAATAATAATAATAATAATAATAATAATAATAATAATAATAATAATAATAATAATAATAATAATAATAATAATAATAATAATAATAATAATAATAATAATAATAATAATAATAATAATAATAATAATAATAATAATAATAATAATAATAATAATAATAATAATAATAATAATAATAATAATAATAATAATAATAATAATAATAATAATAATAATAATAATAATAATAATAATAATAATAATAATAATAATAATAATAATAATAATAATAATAATAATAATAATAATAATAATAATAATAATAATAATAATAATAATAATAATAATAATAATAATAATAATAATAATAATAATAATAATAATAATAATAATAATAATAATAATAATAATAATAATAATAATAATAATAATAATAATAATAATAATAATAATAATAATAATAATAATAATAATAATAATAATAATAATAATAATAATAATAATAATAATAATAATAATAATAATAATAATAATAATAATAATAATAATAATAATAATAATAATAATAATAATAATAATAATAATAATAATAATAATAATAATAATAATAATAATAATAATAATAATAATAATAATAATAATAATAATAATAATAATAATAATAATAATAATAATAATAATAATAATAATAATAATAATAATAATAATAATAATAATAATAATAATAATAATAATAATAATAATAATAATAATAATAATAATAATAATAATAATAATAATAATAATAATAATAATAATAATAATAATAATAATAATAATAATAATAATAATAATAATAATAATAATAATAATAATAATAATAATAATAATAATAATAATAATAATATAATAATAATAATAATAATAATAATAATAATAATAATAATAATAATAATAATAATAATAATAATAATAATAATAATAATAATAATAATAATAATAATAATAATAATAATAATAATAATAATAATAATAATAATAATAATAATAATAATAATAATAATAATAATAATAATAATAATAATAATAATAATAATAATAATAATAATAATAATAATAATAATAATAATAATAATAATAATAATAATAATAATAATAATAATAATAATAATAATAATAATAATAATAATAATAATAATAATAATAATAATAATAATAATAATAATAATAATAATAATAATAATAATAATAATAATAATAATAATAATAATAATAATAATAATAATAATAATAATAATAATAATAATAATAATAATAATAATAATAATAATAATAATAATAATAATAATAATAATAATAATAATAATAATAATAATAATAATAATAATAATAATAATAATAATAATAATAATAATAATAATAATAATAATAATAATAATAATAATAATAATAATAATAATAATAATAATAATAATAATAATAATAATAATAATAATAATAATAATAATAATAATAATAATAATAATAATAATAATAATAATAATAATAATAATAATAATAATAATAATAATAATAATAATAATAATAATAATAATAATAATAATAATAATAATAATAATAATAATAATAATAATAATAATAATAATAATAATAATAATAATAATAATAATAATAATAATAATAATAATAATAATAATAATAATAATAATAATAATAATAATAATAATAATAATAATAATAATAATAATAATAATAATAATAATAATAATAATAATAATAATAATAATAATAATAATAATAATAATAATAATAATAATAATAATAATAATAATAATAATAATAATAATAATAATAATAATAATAATAATAATAATAATGCAATATACAATTTATATTAAATTAAGTTAGTGACTTCTTTTTCGTTTTGATCAGTGTATATAGATTTTTACGCTTTGTACTTGCTTTAAGCCTAAAAAGATCCATAAAGTACTAATAACATAAATAAAATTTGGTTGAATAGCATTGGTGTCGGAATGGAACAGGATTTCCTGCGGCGTTACCGGTCTTCTCGGGGTGACACGTGCTCACCCAAACTTTCGTTGGTTTATTCTATGTCTATATTTGAACCCATTTTAAAGCCTTATAACTTTAGCAACTTTCAATCGGATTAAAACGTTCAAAAACCCTGTATATTTTTAGATATTCAGATACTATTTTTCTTTCAATTTTCTAAACATGTATTATTATTTAAAAATAATTATTCAAATGTATTCACTGGATAACAAATATACAATTTTGATTAAACAAATTGCTAAATAAATTTATCGACTTTACAAAACATGTTTTTATATTACAGTTAATTGATAATTTATGTACCCACTTGGTGATAATGTTAATTAAGGTAAACCAGGATTTAATGCAAAGTTTGGTGGCATAACAAAACAGTTTAGTAAATACGCAATTTTTCTAACGTGATATGGCTGCATTCGTCTTGCCAGAGTTGTACAAAAAGAGTTCGCTTATGAACTTGATTGGTGCCAAAAAAATGTTAGAGAAATATAAAGACTTATTAATTTGGAAAGAAAACGCTTCCATACTAGAATTTGGTGTCGGCGATGGCAGTAATTCGCAAAAAGCCCTTGGACCACTGCTGCCTAAAGATTACAAAGAATATATCGCCACAGATATCTCCAAAATCATGGTGGATTACGCCAGAAGAAATATAGTAATGCCTAAATGTCAATTTTATGAATTTGACATAAATTGTGAGAATATTCCTTCAAGTTTTCAATCGAGATTCGATTATATATTTAGTTTTTATGTAATGATGTACGTTAAAAAGCCAGAGTAAGTACAGCCAATTTCTCAAAACAAATTATAATATAACACGTTAAACGCCACGGCAGTTGGCTAAGAAATGTCTATCAGGACAAAGTGAAAAGTTTAGTCCTTTTAATGTAAAAATACTAAAAAAAGTAATAATGGCAACAAGCATACATGTTTTGAATTTTTTTTTCGAATTTTTTACATTTCTTTCTAGCAGTCCATAGGGACCGTCTTAGCGCTGTAGGAAAACAAACAGACAAGTAGAATGTCTTTGTAGCCTCGTTAATTATTCTGGAGCCCACCGTCCCATGGACCATACTTATCATAATAGTATATTATGCAACGAGCACGAAATGAAGCATATTTTGCACGAGTATGAAAGTTTGAAACACGAGCCGTAGGCGAGTGTTGCAAATCATACGAGTGCAAAATAGCTATTTCGTGCGGGTTGCATACTATACTTTTTCTACGACTGCTTTCTATTACATAAACAAACACAAATCGAATAAAAGATTTATTTTATTAACTGAAATATATTACACTGCAAATAACAAATTGTGGATAAATAAACTCGATTGAAACTGAAAAACTGGTCAAGCCATACCCCAACCTATTTATAAAAATTAAGCGTACAATTATTAAAAACCATTTTTGGGGAGGTAGTAGTGATATTATGTTCAATATTTACATTTTCTTGAATTTGGCAATTTTCTGCAGTTGTAGTAGATGTGTTTCCCGTTTCTGAAGTTATATTTTTTATCTTATTAGAAATTATGTTGGCTATATCAATCTTATTTGTTAAGGATTCATCTATATAGCTTTCAGCAACAGCTGTAGACTTCTAGCCGCCATGAAGCTTTAACGTGGTTATGTCACCACCAGCGCATCAACTAAAATTGTTGCCGAAGAACGGCGGAAGCAGTGACCTGTATATAACTCAGGATTTGGCAATTTCAAATACTTGGCAATATCTTTTCCCATTGCCCCAATTTTATTTAACCCTATTATTTGAACGGTGCATTTACCTTTTTGGTAATTTATAAAAAAACCAGGGATCATTAACATGAGGAGGGCGAAGGTCGGCATATTTTTTAAAAATTTTATAATATTGACCAATTATTGTGAACTGATTCATTTAAATCATTAAAATTTGAAATTTTTATCTGATGTAATTCATGTCGTCTGCATGCACCCATTACACCCATAATTAACGCAACCTACAATAAAAATTCACAAATTGAAAATACTTTGCATTACACAAATATAAAAAATAACGTATTTTAAATATAAGTAACCTACTTTTGTTACTAAATATATCTCATCGGGAGCTTCTTTTATAAATTTTTCGATTTCATTTGACGTAAAAGTCTTCGATTTTTTCGGTTTGTATCCGTCTGACTGCCGCTTGAGAAATGCTTTCAATTTCAAATATTTGCTAATATCTATATTATTATTAATGCTGATAGTCGTTCTTAACATTGAATATTGTGTCCAAAGCGTAGAACTTTTCATTTTTTTCGCCAATTCGGCAAAATAAGCCACTAAAACGTTCTCTGAAAATGAGTTTGCGTTCTCACCTTTTTTCCAATTCATGAAGAGGGCATAAGATCGTTGATATAATTTTTTTGATGTTGGTGGCAACAAATTTAAAGTTGTTACTTTTGCAGCTTCCTTTATGTTTGGAGGTGTTAATTCTATATCACTATCACTGTCCATTTTATTAATTTATTTCATAAAAAAAGATAATTATCGTAAGTTCTGTCAATATTAATTATACTGACAGTAACGTCAAAATGATATTATAGCCGCCTTAGTTTTTAATCTACTTAATTAAAATTTCATTTTTCACGCGTTGCTGGGCAACCCGTGCAATATGAAATGTTGTGTAAAATGTGTATGATATAATATAAGTTCCAATAGCCGAATCAAAATGATGATTTATCATTGCAGCCGTAGAAAAAATTCATTTCGGTTGCCCGGCCGTAGAATAGACAATTCAGCACACATATGTGTCGTAAAAGGCGAAATAAGTGTCTTTACCTTACTTTGTTGCAGCCTAGTATGGTCTAGGTTATAAATTGTCTTTACTATACCTTTTTCACTTTTCTTAAAACTCTTTCTTTTCCCACTTCCTTGGTAATTTAACTTTCTCTATTCGATTAGGTGCCATCTGCGGGTCATCGTCTAGTCACATCCAATTACCTTTAGGTTATCTGGCTTGGTATGGATCTAGAGCCATTGCCCTTCCTTCAACTCTTTAAATACCGATGCACAAGTTTCCTAAAACCAAATATACTTAGGTTTCTTGTGATTCCTGTATGGTTCACATCCTTTGAAACCTAGTATATCCTTCCTCCTCCCCTTTCATTATTTATATATTTTTGTTTCTTGATGATCAGTGTAGTCCAACCCGGTTGATCCCAGAACTAATCTACTTGTCAATATCTGTTGATTCTAAAAAGCCAACACTTTGTGTATTCTTAGTCCTTGCCAAGGCCTTTGACACTGTGGATCTTACACAATTGTTATCGGTCTTGGAAAACACAGGGATTCGTGGTACTCCCCTGAAACTTTTTAAAAATTATTTATCAGGCAGAGAGCAGATTGTTAAAATTGAAACAGCGTATAGCAGTTCTAAAACTTTAAGCTACGGTATACCCCAAGGGACCGTATTAGGACAAACCCTTTTTTCGCTATATCCAAATTATTTATTCAATGTACAAAGTAATGGCCATATAATTATTTTTGCAGATGATACGGCCATATTATATGAAGCTGAAATATGGGATGATCTAAAACAAAAAAATTGAATATAACCTTGCAAAAATCTGACAATTAATTTTTCAAATACCTTTTTTATATCCGTTGTTTTCCTTTAGTTTGCCCTCCGAGCAAATACTACTGGAGGGAGCATGAAGCGAGTTTTTTGGTGATTACTGTGTTAGCTATATCTGTAGAAGAAGTGAGGAAGCGGGAACAAGGAGGAAGGTAAACACACTCCCTGGTTTAGTGGCGTATCATTGTCCAAACTTTTTAATTGAAAAAAAAAACTTACAAAATTCGCTAATTTTACTATTTTTAAAATGTATACCGTCTTATACAGGGTAGCTGTTAAAGATGGAACCAAACCTATAGTGCTTAAATGGTTCAACATACAAAACCCAAAATTTCAGAATTTCAACTAAATATATTTGCGCATATTTTAGCCCAAAAATTATTTTTTTATAAATACAAAATTTTAAACATGGCTGCCATCTTGATTTTTTTTAAATAGCAATATAGATCATGTGATATACCATTTGAAAGGGTTTAACACGTTGATTACAAAAAATGTATCACATATAAGGTCTTGTGTCAAATGCACAGCCTCCTACGCTCCCTATTAATAAGATCCTTTCTGTTGTGTTTAGACCCCATGTGTGATACATTTTTGTAGTCAGAGTGTTTAACCCTTTTAAATAATATATCACATGACCTATGTTGCTATTTAAAAAAATCAAGATGGCGGCCATGCTTAAAATTTTGTAATTATAAAAAAAAACAATTTTGGGACTAAAATATGCGCAAATATACTTAGTTGAAATTCTAAAATTTTGGGTTTTGTATGTTGAACCGTTTAAGCACTATAGGTTTGGTTCCATCTTTAACAGCTACCCTGTATATGTCTGATGCAGAAAATAAAACAAAGTCACTGTACAGCTCTAATTTTTTTAATTAAAGAATAAAACTTTAAAATTAATTCCACATAAGTTTTATTATAAATAAATACAGAAGCGACTAGTTTTGGCTTCACATGGTTATCTTCAGGCCTGAAATACAATAATCCTTGATTATAATAGGAACAATATAAGAGTAAGTTGGTCACTTATGAATAAAAGTAAATAGTTGACAGTACGTATAAATTACTAAAATGGATCCATATTGTAGCATTACAGTATTGCAAGATTAAAGATGTGGAAAAGGAAAAATAGATGAGAAAGTGCAAAAAGAAGAAAAATGGGTATGAAATCTACGAGAGTAAATAATGAACAAGAAGGTCCAGATATGTAAAAAAGGACTCTGCTATTCCTCTGTAAATCTTGAGAATGTAAGGATGGAACGAAGATGAATCTTGCTGGCTCAGGCGTAGATAGGCCAGAAAAAGAAGAAGAAGAAGAAGAAGAACGTAGATGAAAGCTCTAGTAAATATCGTCATTTTCGCCTAATTTTTTATTCTCACTCACCATTTCGGTCTTAGCTTCGAAATCTATTTTCAAAAGAAAATAAAAGTAATCATTCATCATATAATAAAGCAACGTGAGCTAATAAACGTTTGTTTCAATGAAAAAACATATATGTGATTATAAAAAATAAATAAAAATAGATTAATATCAAAATCAATCAACAAACCTAGATAAAATAAGATAAATTAGCACATAATATACAAATAGAACTAATGAAAGTTAATATGTTAATAACATACTTTCTGAAAATAATACATTTTAAGAAGGTGAATTTTTAAAGAGTTGATGGTCCCTGAACATAACTCCCTCTTTTTAATATTATGAGGGTTTTTGTAGTTGAGGAAAATAGATAGAGAACTTCATAATCTTAACGGGTTATGAAAAATTATTAATGGTAAAACTTCAAACAATAATTAGATTCTTAAAAAAGTTTCTTCTTTTTGTTTTGCAAAAAACTTTTTTACCTTTTTCTGTTAACTCCGCCACTTTTTTTTAGGAGTAACTATGAAAACCAGAAGAACCATAGATGTAGGATTCAGTTTCTGAATGCAAATAAAATTAAAAAATTTACAATTTACTTAGGTAGGTACTATTAGTGCAAAAACAATCTTTTTGAAAGAAACTTAAGTTTCTCTGATTCACTTATTGTTTTAGAATTGTAATAGCAGATAAATATGGTTTGATTATTATACTTTTCTTGTCGAAATTTACTGAAATTGCATTTTTTTTTTAATATTTTCCTACCCTGAGGTCTGTAATAAAAATCTTCATTAGCATAAAGAGTTGTTCGGGTGGCCACTTGTTGAATTCCTAAATTTTGGAACCAATAGTTTATTTTTTTACCACATCAAGAAATGTAAACCTACAATAAAAAAATAACAATAAACTTTACAAAGATGTGATTTTTCTTTATGTCAATAAGTAATTAACCAGTACACTAAAATAAGACAGTTTAATTGCAAATTAAAAGTGATTGCCTAATGCACCGCCACTGATAATTAGGTTGTGTTTGTACTTACTTGAGGAAGCCTTTTCAACAAGTCGTTTACGCATAAAGCATGTTTTCGCCATATTATTAGAGATAATAAATCCTAAAAATACATTTACAATCCTTACAACGCTATAATTGTTTATATTTTTTTCGTAAAATACAAACCAAAAATTGACATTTGTCAGACAGTGTCCGAACTGACGCTGTCAAACTTGGCAACGCTGATTAAATAAGCCAATTACTGGAGAGGGATTTCCCTCCTCGGGGGGAGTAGATGTTGATTACAAAATTTAGCGCGGGGAAGGGGGGAAGACTCTCTCCAGTAGTAATTGCTCGGAGATAAAATACACTCATTATTAATCAGAATGTATTTAAATGTTGAGTACTGCAGAGGTAACGCGTTATTCAGAAATGGTTCCGCAGAAGAAACATACCAAATAAACAAAAATGTTCAGAGCGTGGAATGACGTTGTCGAGAAACTGGGAATGTGAGACAAAAAAAATAATTCTGATAGGCCTATAACAACAAGAAGCATTCAGAAAGAGAATATCGTTTTAAATTTAGTTGATGCAGATCCAACAATGAGCTTAAGGAATGTGGCACGACAATCAAATAGGTATTCTGCAAGTACTTGGAGGAGGAGGATACTTAAGGAGCAGTAGCTACATCCGTATTGCTACAGACAAGTCCAAGAGTTCTTGCCAAACGATCCACCAGATTTTTTAAATTGTATCCTTTTTACCGACGAGGCCACTTTTACTGGTGTGATAAGAATCCACATTACCAACACTCGTTTAAAATTAATGTTTGGGCAGCAACACATGTCCAAAATCAGCTTTTTTCAGAAAACGCAAAAAACGTGTCAGTTCTAAGAGACCTTATGAAACGCTATATTTGACAGTGACTATCTCTGTTTGTGTGTTTGTTTTTTAAGAAAAGACCATTTGTGCAGGTAAATACAACAATTATTGGCCATTAATTATTACAGTTAACTCAATTTAAACATGTGTAACAATTGGTTATCACATTCTACCAGTAAATCTGAATGATAATATGTACCTCGAGTTTTTATTCAAGCTATTAGAAGATTTATTACTAAACGAGCGAAGATACCTCTTTTTTATGCATTATGGAGCTCTCGCACTTTGTTAGTGGTTGTAATTACTTGAGTAGCCATTAATCCAGTGAAATAGTAGAGATTAGAGGTTCAGAAGCTTCGATTCATTGGCCTCCACGCTCATGCAATTTTAATTCTTTGGACTTTATAGTTTGGTCGTATGTTAAAGAAAAAGTCTGTGCTACAGAGGTAAATTAATGTTGCAAGACAGAATTGAACATCACTTTAATGACCTCATAACCAATCCTCAACCATTTAGATTAATGCATTCTTTAGAAAAAAGTATAGTGAGTATTCGTGAAAACGGAGGACATTTTGAACACTTACTCTAACAATTTCTTCAATTTTTAAATTCATTAAGTCATTTGTATTAATTATTAAATTCTTTTACGGAGTGAAAAGTAGACATTCAAACGAGACTAGTCCCAACAAAGCTCATTCCCTTTATTTGATCTAGAAAGAGTGAATGTACTCCATAGAGGATATGATAAACTTATTTAAATGGTTTCTTTTTTTCAGACATACTTTCAAAAATATTTATGCCATGTTGAAACCAAATGGAAAAACATTCAATGTGTTTCTTCCATCTCTTCCGACAGATCCCGTCCACATGAAGCTCTGTAAACATGAAAAATGGGGAAAATATGGACACGAGCAAATGTTATCAGCCTATAGTTCTGAATTGTATCCGGAAAAATGCTATCAGCAGGCATTGGATAGATCTGGATTTAAGTATTATTTCTCAGTCGAAAAAACATCTTACACGTTTCTCAATGAAGCAGAATGGAAAGGTAGGTACTGAAGTAGTATTATAAATACAGAATAAAAAGAAATACTAACTTTTGAACAACAATATCTTATTCAGGTTTGTTTCTATAATTACAGGCAACAAAAATAATCCATAAAATTAAAAAAAAATTAAATCCAAACGCCATACGTTTCTCTAAAAAAAAAAAAAATATAACACCCTGTATAGTTATTTTTTTTAATGCAATGTAAGAAACAAAGCATAATTTGACAGATATAAGGTAAAATTGTATAGAGCTGTGTCATTGGTTTATTTAACAAGCAACAAATATTTTGATATCTGAATGGGAGTTAGATTTGAGCAAATTTTATCATTAAAGTTTGAATTCAATTATTATAAAGTCATTTTGTGAATCAATTATAGTTTATTATTAAAACACAAACCTTTTTAAGTAGAGTTTTGATGATGTCATAATTTGAAGTAATTTCTATTGGTTTCTAAAACCTCAGGAAGCGTAAAGGGAGGTTTGGTCCATAGCAACCCCTAGTTACGCGATAAATAGGGACTTCTAGAAAAATCTAAGATGGAGACGAAAAAAAGGTGTTACCTGAAAGAAAACTAGTTTAAAAAAATCAATAAATATTGATTTGGATAATTTAAACAGTATAAAAAATATTGAGTAAGTCAATGACATACAATTTATAAATAATATTGCATTGTATGAATGAATTTATAAAGAAAAATTCAACTTACCGGCCACAAAGTGTTTTCAAAGGATTTGGAGTGTCTCATCCAAAGAAAGAATCTGATATAACGTAAGTGCAAGCAGATCAATTCCCATATTTCACATTATTGAGTCAGGTGTTCTACAAACAAATAAACCCAGTGCACATTATAAGTTAAAAGAAAATATAAACACTAAAGAAAGGATATTTCATTCTTTAAAAGTTTCATATAGTTACCTAAAGCTTGTGAAGATAAGCGAAAACAGTGTAGATAGTTTAAAAAACTTTTCTTTATTCCAAATACACATTCTGATATTATTTCAATAGAAATACAGGTTATGTTGTGAAATAGGATAGAAAATAGAAAGTATTTTCGTGATTTTTATCCAGAGCAATATAAAGTCATTTCAATTTTCGATATTTGCAACGCAAATAAATGTTCTTACTTAAATTTCTACTCAACAGAGGTTATGAATAGTAATCTATCTGGTACTTATGAGGTTTATTTGTAGATGGTAGCACGATCTCGCTTTTTGCGTGTATAGTAGGTCACGCAGAGAAATTAAAGTTTAAAATAATCTGGATAAAAAAAGGAATACAAATTATAAATTTTGATCAAAATTTTTAATAATTTCACGAATATACAGTAATGTGTACATATTAGTTTAAGGAATTTTACTTACATGAATATTCATTGTTATTTATGTCAAATTGTGCTTTATTTTCATTTTATGAAATAAAAAAAAAATCTGTTATTTGAAAATTATAAAAACGACTGAGCATAGTTTTATAAAGGGAAGTTTTGGTTTTCTTTTCGATAAAAAAAAACAAAAACAAACTAAATAAAAATAAATATAAAATAAACAAACCAAAACAGTACACACAGTAATAGTTGATTTGTTCTTGCTTCTTTTAACAATGTTTTGAATCATTTTAGGATTCTTCCTTTCCGTTAATACAGCGTTAGCCAATATTCCCGAAGACGAAGTGGAAGAATACAAAGACATGTTTTTAAACTTAATTGATAACCAAGTATTAATTGATGGTAGTGACAGAGGAACTAAAACAGTAAACTTTGATTTGTGTGTGGTATCTGCGAATAAAGTATCTATTTAACAAACCCAAGTAGACGTTCATGTTTTCATTGAGTTTATTTTAGGCAGAGTTGGGTCGGATACAGAAAAAAAGTATCTGAGTACCGGATACGGATACTTAAAATGTATCCGGATACTTTTTAGGATACTTTCAACTAAAAAGTACTCGGATACAAGTATCCAGATACTTTTTTCGAATACTTTAAAGGATACTTTTAAAATGAGTTAAAATAATGTTTTTATACCAATAGTTATAATTATGCAATAAGATTGATTACGAGTAACAATAAACAATACTAGGCATAAATAAATTATCGAAAATGGAAATCGATATAATAGAAACAGAAAAAAAACTACTCAATAAGTTGTTTATTATTTTTATTCTGTGAATATAAAACATTAAAACAAAAAGGTGCGTTTAAATAAAACGAGTCGCGCCTGAACCGCTCCAAAAACCAGCCATATAAATCTAACGAAATATACAACCTTTCGATATTCTCGTCAGTGTCATATGTATTCGACAATCCATTTTTGTAGATCCTCTGACGAGCGGTACTTGGTAGAGTCGAGAGCGTCAAAAGGAGAAGGAGTGAGAGATTGCTGAATGTTTCGTTCTGACATAGGCAAAGCAGGCTCGTATATTTGATCTTGTCAGATCTGTAATCTGTATACCTTATTGATGTTGATGACGACATAAATAACACAGGGTTGCCAGACGTCACGCTTTTGGCGAATTTGCGCAACGCCACAGTACGAAAATGTCACGCCTTTGAAAAAATGCCACTCTTTTTATGCAAATACCACGCTTTTTAATTGAAAAGCCGAGAAGGAACCGGATTCATACAAAAATAGACAAATGTCGGGCTAAAAGACCCTCGTTTTTGCGAAAAATAGGCTGAGGAACTTTTTTTTTATTTTTTAGAAATGTTCTTAAAAAATGGACCTGATTATATAAACATGCCTGTCGTCACGGTTATCACGCTTTTTTACTTTCGGAAATCTGGCAACCCTAATAACACATGATCAGTAAAATTATGAGCAACACCGTCATACATGTATTTTTTCGACTACATTTTAAAAACTAATAATGTAATTAGACATTTTACAAAACAAAAAATTCGAGGTTCCTACACCTACTTGCCTTTGCGTATAGTTAGGCACTAAAACTGATACAGAAAGTTTAGTTATATTGCACTATATAAAAACACAGGAACAACCGTCTCTTGTCTTTGCCAACTGAAACATAACTGGGCTAATGGAACCTCCACAAGTTCGTGATACCGGGCAACGGTTTGTAGGATTTTTCCTGTAAAAACGTGCCGTAAGATGCTGAATGCCGACCGCCTGTATACTGGGTGAATCGTCGAATTCATCCTTGGTGATGATAAATTTTTTTTGCCTTATTTTAAATTTTACAAGGTGCACCAAACAAAACTACAAATCATAATAAAATAATTATTTCACTATTTTTTATTTAAGTAGGTACATATTGCAATTGTGTCTTAAATATGGTAATATTGACAAATACGTATTTTATTTCTAATTATACAAGGTAGCTCAAAGTATTTCGATTATATATTTTAATAGAGATAATATGGTTTGGATCAGTTACGATTGTGGTAAATAATTTAAAAGTATCCGAATGCCGAAAAAAGTATCCGGTATCCGGATACTTACAAATTTGGTCACGGATACGGATACTGGATACAAAATTTAAAAAGTATCCGGATACAGCTTTCGGATACACATAAAGTATCCGGATACCCAACTCTGACTTTAGGTAATATTTATTTTGTAATTGTTCCATGTGTATTTTCTTTAACTGTTAAATAATACGTTTATAACTACTTGGTGATTTTTGTATTGATAACTTATGCTTTTTAAGACATTTCCTCATTTAAGATCAGTGTCTGAAGATAATAAAATAACCAGGTGTATTTGAGCCCATTTTAAAGCCTTATAACTTTAAGAAATTTAGTTATTTTAATCGGATTAGAACATTTAGAAACCCTATATATTTTTAGATATCAAGGCACACTTTTCCTTTCTCCGATCTAAAAATAAGGCAATCACCGATATAATTTTAAAAATAATTATACACATTTATTGACCCGATAAGAAGATAAAACATTTTCCGATAAAAAGATTCGCTAATAATTACATTAATTATTTAGTAGATACGCAGACGTTTTTAATGTAATATGGCTACTTTCATCTTTCCAGAGTTGTATAGAAAGACTTCTGTCATTAACTTGGTTACTGCCAAAAAAATACTGGAGAAATATAAAGACTTATTAGTTTGGAAAAAAATACGCTTCCATTTTAGAATTTGGTGTCGGCGATGAAAGCAATTCCCAAAAAACTCTTCGACCTCTTTTGCCTAAAGATTATAAAGAATATATCGCTACAGATATCTCCAAAATTATGTTGGATTACGCAAGAAGGAATATCGTAATGCCTAAATGTGAATTTCGTGAATTTGACGTTAATTCTGAGCCTATTCCTTCAAGTTTTCAGTCGAGATTCGATTATATATTTAGTTTTTTACGATGATGTACGTTAAAAAATCAGAATAAGTACAGCTAATTTCATAAAAGTAAATATAATATTAATCAGAGTAAAACATTCATTTTCACTAATGTGGCAATCCTTTATAAGAAAACTTAAATTCATTTACTGCAGAATTTTATTTTATTGTTGTTTAACAAGCGGCTTCTAATTTTGGCCTCTAGGTGCTTCATGAGGCCTAAAAATTACATCAATTATTATATCATAAAATATAATAATCAGTTCACTTAATTATCTGTATACATCTTATAGTGAATTCTTTGAAGACGTCAGATTTAAACGTATTTTTTGAAAAGCAAATGACCCGTTGTTGTAGAAGCTTTATTAAATAAATATTAAAAAAAAAACAACATCTCACAATTTAAAAACCCTCATTTATTGATATGATATGAAACACAATTTTTGTTTTAAGTTTACTCTTGAGGCCCTTAAAAATTGCTGCCCTAGCAATTTGAATCTCTATGAGATACACTCTACGCTTTCGTGGCCTTCCAAATACATAAAAATCCGACATTCATTCTTTAAAACTCAAACGTAAATGTCGCCAGAATAAATGTGTGATTTCAAATGTTATCATGTTTTGTTTCTTTATCCAATACAAGAAAAACAAAGATAAGAACAAATTTTCCTCTTTCATTTATAAAAAACTACTGGGTGGACATATATTTTTAAGTTTCTACTTAATGCAATAAACAATTTATATTAAATTAAGTTAGTGGCTCCGTTTTCGTTTTGATCAATGTATATAGATTTTTACGCTTTGTACTTGCTTTAAACCTAAAAAGATCAATAAAGTACTTATAACATAAATAAAATTTTGTTCAATAGCATTATTGTCGGAATGGAACACGATTTCCTGCGGCGTTACCGGTCCTCTATTTATCTAGTCTAAGACTTATCTATATCCGCCACTGACCAAAAGACTCCACTTACCTGCGCGGGGTGATACGTGTTGTCCCAAACTTTCGTTGGCCTATTCTGTCTATATTTGAACCCATTTTAAAGCCTTATAACTTTAAGCAACTTTCAATCGGATTAAAACGTTCAAAAACCCTGTATATTTTTAGATATTCAAACACTATTTTCCTTTCAATTTTCTAAAAATGTAGAATTATTTAAAATTATATTTAAAAAACAATATTTCTCCATATGTATTCACCCGGTAAGTATATCCTTGATTATCGCTTAAATAACTATTTTGATAAAACAAATTGCCAAATAAATATATTAACTTTATAAAACAGTTTAGTTTATACGCATATTTTTAACGTAATATGGCTGCATTCGTTTTACCCGAGTTGTACAAAAAAAATTCGCTCATGAACTTGATTGGTGCCAAAAAAATGCTAGAGAAATATAAAGACTTATTAGTTTGGAAAGAAAACGCATCCATACTGGAATTTGGTGTCGGCGATGGCAGTAATTCGCAAAAAGCCCTTGGACCTCTGCTGCCTAAAGATTACAAAGAATATATCGGCACCGATATCTCCAAAACCATGGTGGATTACGCTAGAAGAAATACAGTAATGCCCAAAAGTCAATTTTATGAATTTGACATAAATCGTGAGAATATTCCTTCAAGTTTTCAATCGAGATTTGATTATATATTCAGTTTTTATGTGATGATGTACGTTAAAAAGCCAGAGTAAGTACAGCCAATTTCTCAAAACAAATTATAATATTAACACGTTAAACGCCACGGCAGTTGGCTAAGAAATGTCTACAACGACAAAGTGAAAAGTTTAGTTCTTTTAACTTTAAAATTCTAAAAAAGTAATAATGGCAACAAGCATTCATATTTTGATATTTTTACATTTCTTCCATAGGGACCGCCGTAGCGCTGTAGGAAAATAAACAGATAAGTAGAATGTCTTTGTAGCATTGTTAATGATTCTGGAGCCCCACCTCTGAATCATATTTATCATAAAAGTCACTGTGGTTGCTCGATCGTAGAATAGGCAATTCAGCTCACAGCCGTGTCGTAAAAGGCGAATTAAGTGTTTTTACCATACTTTGCTGCTGCCTAGTATGGTCTAGGTAGCAATTTGTCTTTACTATACCTTTTTTTTTAATTTTTTGATGATCATGTAGTCCAATCCGGTTGATCCCTAAACTAATCTACTTGTCATTGTTGGGTCATTAAGACATTTTTTTAAAAATTTATAATATTTTGTAGAATTTAATGTTATACCTTATAAAGGGTTTTACGTGGGTTCGGTGATTTTACCAACCCTAACTATTAATATATTTGTTGTGTTAATTCACAACTGAATGTATCTTGCCCTTGATCCCATGGGGAATGCATTTTGGAAATGAGTTTTAATATCAATTAAAATTTTAATTTTTAATTTGAAACTCCTTTTAGGACGGCTTTAATGATGGCTTTGTAAGCCGACGGCGCTCAGCCTAATGATTAATAAAAAATTAAAAATTTGTACACACTGACGTATTCATTTTACTGCATCTCACTGGTAGTGTGCATACTACCCACTTTGTTTATTTCTCAAAAGATATGTTCGAGTAAAAACAATTATTGACTGACAGACGGCTTTTTTCAAAATCCGTTGTTTTCCTCTAGTATGCCAATGCTAGGAAAATAAATATTTTTTTCTAATAAAAATATTGAATCTTATCATAATATGATATTCTTTAGCAGATTCTACCAAAAACAGAATATATCCTATTTAATTATAATTTTCAACAGGATATCGCATCAGTCTTATATCCACGTCAACAATTCATTTTGGCCCGCTAATAGTCTCGATCCCAGAGGGGTTAAAAATTTAAAGAAAACATTTCCTAATCCATTTTGTAGTTAAAAAAAATGGTCAATCGACATAAGGACATAATAAATATCCATAAAGGTTTAAAATTATATTTTGATGTTTGACCACCATGTTTGACCACCCCCTCAAATAATTTTAATGTGCCCAAGTAGTGTAAAAATTCGAAAAATAAAATTTGGAAATCGAATTTCCACTTGGAAAAAATGGTCAAACGACATAAGTTTACAATAAAGGTCCATTACGATTAAGAATTATGTTTTGACGTTTGACCACTCCCTAAAATAATTCTAATGTGCCCAAGTAGTGTGAAAATTAGAAAAATAAAATTTGGAAATCGAATTTCCACTTGGAAAAAATAATCAATGGACATAAGTTTACAATAAAGATCCATGTCGATTTAGAATTATGTTTTGACGTCGTTTGACCACCTCCTAAAATAATTTTAATGTGCCCAAGTAATGTGAAAATTAGAAAAATAACATTTGGAAATCGAATTTCCACTTGGAAAACATTATCAAAGGCTATAAGTTTACAATAAAAATAAATAACGATTTAGAAATACTAAAACTATTTTAGAGGGTGGTCAAACACCCAAACATAATTTTAAACCATTATGAAACCTTATTGTGCATTTATGTCGTTTGACCATTTTTTCCAAGCCTAAATTCGATTTCCAAATTTTGTTTTTCGAATTTTCGCATTGCTTGGGCACATTAAAATTATTTTAAGGGGTGGTCAAACGTCAAAACATAATTCTAAATCGTTATGGATCTTTATTGTAAACTTATGTCCTTTGATTATTAATTCCAAGTGGAAATTCGATTTCCAAATTTTATTTTTCCAATTTTCACCCTACTTGGGCACATTAAAATTATTTTAGGGGGAGGTAAAACGTCAAATCATAATTCTTAATCGTCATGGATCTTTATTGTAAACTTATTTCCTTCGATTATTTTTTCCAAGTGGAAATTCAAACATGGTCAAAAATTGGTTAATCTTATGGTGTAGTCAGTTTTAAAAAATATTAACTTCGGGGGGCCAGCGGGCACTCGGCCATTAATATTTTTTAAATATTTAGGTTTCTGATGGTGGTCAAAAAAAGTTAGAGGGTGGTCAAAAATGGTCAATTGGTGGTCAAACGTATGCCGCTTCTAAAACTAAAATTTTCATATTTCGGGGGGGCCAGCTTCACAGAGCTAGCGATTACGAGTTACCCAGAAAAGTGTCCCAGAATTAACATACCAAATAAAAAAAATGTTCAGAGCTTGGAATGACGTTTTCGAGAAACTTGGAAGGTAAGACCAAAAAAAAAATAATTCTGGTAGGCCTATAACAACAAGAAACATTCAGAAAAAGAACATCATTTTAAATTTAGTTGATGAAGATCCAACAATTAGCTTAAGAAATGTGGCACGATAACCAAATACGTATTCTGGAAGTACTTGGAGGATACTTAGGGAGCAGTAGCTACATACGTATTACTACAGGCAAGTCTAACAGCTCTTGCCAACCGATCTACCGAAAAAGGTGGAATTTTGTGAGACGTTAGAAAAAGCACAGCTCACAAGCCCAATTTTTTAAATTATATCCTGTTCACCGACAAGTCCACCTTTACGCGACAAGGAATATTTAACTCTCGTAATATTCACTACTGGTGTGATGAGAATTTACATGTTATAAGGATATCACATTACCGACACTCGTTTAAAATTAATGTTTGGGCAGTAACTTTAGATAACAAATCACTTAAAGAACTTTTTACAAAAACAACATGTCAAAAATCAGTTTTTTTTTCAGGAAATGCAAAAAACATTATGTCAGTCCAAATAGAGCTTTTTAAGAAATTATCAGTTGTAAGTAAATACAACAATTGACCACTAGTTATTACAGTCAATTTGAGCATATTTGCTCATTTTTTATTTTTAAAAGAAAGTCTTCGTTTGGTTATTACATTCTATCTGGAAATCTGAATGATAATATTATGTACCTAGTGTTTTTAGAAAATCATTTATTCGAGATATTAGAAGATTTAACGCTAAACGAGCGAGTATCTTTATTTTTTATGCATGATGAAGCTCTCCCGCACCATGATAGGAGGTGCCACAATTGGTTGAGTAACCATTATCCAAATTGATGAAATGGTAGATGTGCACAAGCTTCGATTCATTGGCCTCCACGTTCATGCAATTTCAATCCTTTGGACTTCCCAGTTTAGTCGTATGTAAAGAAAAAAATCTATGTTTTAGAGGTAAATTCACGTCAAGACTTGCAAGACAGAATTGAACATCACTTTAATGACCTCAAGACTAATCCTCAACTGTTTAGAAGATTAATGCATTCTTAAAAAAAAAAAAAAAGGATAAAATTGTGTATTCGTAAAAACGGAGGACATTTTGAACACTTATTCTAACAATTTCTCCAATTTTTAAATTCAAAAGATATTTTTATTAATTATTATATAAAAATTCAACTAAATTAATTAGTCTGATATTGGTGGGCAATATTTACGAAAAAATAATTATAATCCTTAAAACCCAAAACTATTGGCAGGTTCGCTTTTGCTGTAGCATTTCCAATAATTAAGACCTATTAGGTAGCTGCAGTTTGGAAAAATCTGATTTCTGTTACAAAGTGAAAAGTAGACGCTCAAACGAGACTAGTTCAAACAAAGCTCATACCCTTTGATATCTAATCTAGAAAGAGTGAATGTACTCCATAGAGGGTTTGAAATACTAATTTAAAAAGTTTCTTTTTACAGACATACTTTCAAAAATATTTATGCCATGTTGAAACCAAATGGGCAAACATTCAATGTGTTTCTTCCATCTCTTCCGACAGATCCCGTCCACATGAAGCTCTGTAAACATGAAAAATGGGGAAAATATGGACACGAGCAAATGTTATCAGCCTATAGTTCTGAATTGTATCCGGAAAAATGCTATCAGCAGGCATTGGATAGATCTGGATTTAAGTATTATTTCTCAGTCGAAAAAACATCTTACACGTTTCTCAATGAAGCAGAATGGAAAGGTAGGTACACACAGTAATAGTTGATTTGTTCTTGCTTCTTTTAACAATGTTTTGAATCATTTTAGGATTCTTTCTTTCCGTTAATACAGCGTTAGCCAATATTCCCGAAGACGAAGTGGAAGAATACAAAAATATCTTTTTAAACTTAATTGATAACCAAGTATTAATTGATGGTAGTGACAGGGGAACTAAAACAATAAACTTTGATTTGTGTGTAGTATCTGCGAGTAAAGTATCCAATTAAAATATCCAAGTAGACCTTTATATTCTAATTTTCTATAGTATAAATAATATTTATTTTGTGATTTGTATTTTCTTTAACTGTTAAATAATACGTTTATACCTTCTTAATGAGTTTTTTATTTATAACTCATGATGTATAAGACATTTCCTCGTTTAAGACTAGTGTCTGACGATAATAAAATAACCAGGTGTATTTGAGCCCATTTTAAAGCCTTATAACTTTAAGCAATTTTGTTATTTCAATCGGATTAAAACGTTTAGAAACCCTGTATATTTTTAGATCAAGGCGCACTTTTTCTTTCTCCGATTTAAAAATTAGGCAATCACCGATATAATTTTAATTATAATTCTACACATTTATTGACCCGATAAGTAGATAAAACATTTTTCAATAAAAGAATTCGCTAATTACATTCATTATTTAGTAGATACGCAGATGTTTCTAATATAATATGGCTGCTTTCGTCTTTCCAGAGTTGTATAGAAAAACTTCTATCATTAACTTGGTTACTGCCAAAAAAATACTGGAGAAATATAAAGACTTATTAGTTTGGAAAAAAAACGCTTCCATTTTAGAATTTGGTTTCGGCGATGGAAGCAATTCCCAAAAAAATCTTCGACCTCTTTTGCCTGAAGATTATAAAGAATATATTGCCACAGATCTCTCCAAAATTATGGTGGATTATGCAAGAAGGAATATCGTAATGCCTAAATGTGAATTTTATGAATTTGACGTTAATTGTGAGCCTATTCCTTCAAGTTTTCAGTCGAGATTCGATTATATATTTAGTTTTTTTACGATGATGTACGTTAAAAAACCAGAGTAAGTACAGCTAATTTCATATAAGTAAATATAATATTAATCAGAGTAAATCATTTATTTTCACTAATGTGGCAATCCTTTATAAGGAAGAAAACTTAAACTCATTTACCACATAATTTTTTTGCTGTTTAACAAGCAGCTTCTAATTTTTGGCCGTTAGGTGCTTCATCAGGCCTAAAAATTAAAAGTGAAGTAAAAGTAAAGCTACTAAAGGATTATATATGAAGTCTTACAAAAATTTTATACTTAAGTGTAGATTATAAATCAATTATTTACAAACAATATTCTTATTCCCGAATTTGTCTAATTTGATATGGCTATTAAAAAAAATAACTGAACTGAATTAAAGCACAAGAAGTAATTAAAGTAAGAGGGGGTTGTGAAGTGGAGAGCCGTAAAAATTGTAAAGGGTAATAAGGTGGGGAAAGGGGAAACGGATAACTCGGGTCAGTGAAGAGAGAGTGGAAGAAAAGTCAGTAATAATTAATAGAACCGATTCCTGGTATCCTAAACAAGGAACAAATAAATTAAGAGACTACCAGGAATCAGTTTTATTAGAAAATGGGGGAAAAAAGTGTTTAGAATAAGCGAAGGGGAGCAATAGAGAAGATGAGTGAAAGAATATAAAATATAGAAGAGTCAAAGAGGGAAAGTACATATTACTACATTGACTAAGTGTCACTTAGAAAAATAAGTAGGTGGGTCAAATAAATTGAGAACAAATAATGCGATAAAGGAAAGTAATGATATATGTGCCTAAAAAGTGAAAGGAAAATACGAAAATAGGCTAAACGTTAGAAGCACTGTACTTCATGAATTCATTGGTATATTCGTCCCTGAACCACAAAACCTAAAAATTGTCGGCAACTTTGGCTATATTATAGAAAAAGTTTAATAAATTCCGTATTAATCTATGAAAATTTTCTGATTTTTGTTTTAATAAATATTTAGTATTTTTCTAAATAGAAGGATTTCCCACCTTTTATCTTAAATACTTCTGTAGAGTGCTGCCTTATCATTGCACAAATTTAAAGCTCTTAATATTTTCGAGACACATAACATCGCAAAATATTCCCAGTGGCGCGCTTATATATACATTTTTCTTCTCGCGAGAGGTCCGATTTGATCCTAATAGAGAAAATATAATAAAAATACAATAAAAAGAATATAAATTCGTGTTGTCTGTCTCTTTATTACTAAATCGGTTATGCATCCATCAAATTTCTCTATATACGAAAGTTTTTAATTTTATCTGTCGAATAACGTCTCAAAATTTTAAATTTTCTTTAGGGAAAATGGTTTTCCACACATTTTCCGGTTAAACAACATAACGAAATTTGTTGTCGGAAACCTGAACAAATCGTCTTTTTTATATTTTAATAATGACATTTTAGGTTAATTTAATAATTCATTAAATTTATTTTGGTTGTAATTTGACATTAAAGGATGCAATATAAGTAGTACATTGGTGCCAAGTTGTGAATTCTTTCTAAAATAAAACGACTATATTTTTGATATATTCAAAAGGAAACATAAATTACAATTTTAACATAATTATCGATACCCAAGCCTTGCTAATATTCGTGGACATCCGAACGGCGGATGTTAATATTAAAAACTTACAGATAGTTCCTATACACTTTAAAACTAATACACATAACCCAAAAAAATATATATTAAGGGATTATGAGGATAATTTATTTAAACTTATTCATTATAATGATATCTGTCATGCTCTGTACAAATAAGCTGTGTTGCCAAGTGTGCAATTAAAATCAACGAAAGAGAAATATAAAAGTATCTTATTTTTAACATAATATTTCCAAGCAATTTAAGAAGCACTACTTCCATTTATTTATTTCCAATCATATCCGATGATTTATTTATCCATGTTGGTTGAATGGTAGTGCAACATAATAATTAATAAAGTAATAAACAGTGTACTTTTCGAAAACTGTTAAACATAATTACTTTACTATAAGAGCACGCTTCGCTCTTCTCACCCACCTCCTAATACTACAGAAGCTAATGAGCGCGCCCGCGAATTTCGAAACGCCGCGCCGCGCGGGATTGCTTCGCTCGCTCTCTACTGTAGCGGTTAGGAGTTAAAGGGAAAAAGGGCGCGCTCGGTAGACATTTCGAAATTCGAAATTCGCGCGAATTTCGAAACGTCGGTCGGGCGCTTCGCTCGCTTGTTTCTGTAGTGGTCAGAAGGTGAGTGGGACAAGCGAAGCGTGCAGTTATGGTGTACGTGTACAAGGGGCGCTCCCGGTCAACTGCGTAAATTTCGATATGTCGGCCAGAAACACCTTTTTTACACTTCACCGTTCGCTTCACTTGTTCTCTTCTGTTGTGGTTAGGACATGGACAGGGCGAGCGTAGCGTGCTCTTATAGTGTAAGTATAAAAAGGGCACAGGCGAATTTCAAAACATCAAACCAAAAGCGCTTGCTTCTAAGGTAGTTAGGACGTGGGAGGACGAGCGTAATTTTATGGTGCAGATGTGTCAGGGACTTTTAATTTTTTTGAATTCTGATATATTTACAAGAAGCGATTTGGATAAAAAAATTATAAAATAAATCAAATTATCATTATACCTATCAGTTAGAAATATATCAGGCGCTCCATTATTCCAAAATAACGCAAGGATGTATTCGAGCTGATAGAGTTAGCACAATGCGGTTTTAACGGTTTTATTTTAAATTTAATAGAGTACGATACATTAATTAAAAAAAATATATTCTTGTGTAATTTTTAGAGTAATGGTCAACCCAGTATATTTCTGGCCCAACTTTCATTTAGTCGAAATCTGTTATGCAAAAACTGTTGTCATGATAACAATTGTGATGGCTATAAGAAAACAAAAATCCTAATTTCATGGTGAGGAAATGCGTAGTTGCCAAGTTATAGATCATTTAATTTTCACTTTAGTTTAGCCGAAATCAGTTAGAGAGAAAATGTTGCCATGAAAACGTTTGTTATGCAAACGACTAAACAAAAAACCAAAGCCATATTCGAGCGGTCTCATTGGTTTAAAAATATTTTCAACAACTTTTAGAACCAGTTTTATTACTACGTCATAGATTTTGAAAACGCTAAAATAGATGATTTTAAAACAGTGATGTCACTAACAGTTAAGGATTTGTGTGTGTAAATCTCTAGCGACAGATAATTTTTTACTTCAAAAAAAGCTCATATATTACCAGAGTTTTATGAAAAATGGATCGTTATATTTAGAATCCGACTTTAACCAGTTATTTAGAATTACAAGGTCAAGTTATCAAAAATTACTAAAAATTATAAACCTTCATAATTATGCATTTTCTATTTTTTCTTATAACTGTAATATAAAAAATCCTTTTTGATAATTAATTTTAATGCATGATCTACGCTACTATTTTTGACATCAATGACATTTCTATTTCCTTGAACAGTTCTCAATGAAACGTTTCAAAAACAGATGCAGCTGGTTTAAACCTATTTCAACGTGACGTCATTGTTTGGTCACTCGAATGGGAATAGTTCAAACCAGTTTCGAACCGCATGAAATATATTTAAACCAGTAGACCGCTCGAATATGGCTCAAATCTTGTGGCGATGAAATGCGTAGTTGCCAAGTAGTGGTTAGTAGGTGGGTGGATCGAGCGTAGCGTGATCTTATGATATAAGAGGAAAAAAGCCGCTCCGGCCGACGTTTCGAAAATCGCGCCCGCGAATTTCGAAACGTCGGCCGGGCGCTCTCGCTTCGCTTGTTTTCCTTTTTAGTGGTTAAGAGGTGGGTGGGAGGAGCGCAGCGTGATCTTATGATGTAGGTGGAAAAAAGGCGCGTCCGGACGACGTTTCGAACTTCGCGCGTGCGAATTTCGAAACATCGACTAAACAAATCCCTTAGTGAGAAAATGCTTATTTGCCAAGTCATAGATGGTTTCATTTTCACTTTAGTTTAGATTAGGATAATTATATGTTAAGAGTTAAAATAAATATAAGAGGCAACTGCGCATTTCCTCACCACCGGATTTAGGTTTTTGTTTAGTCGACATCACGGAAAGTGTTCTTTTGGCAACGAGTTCTCCGTAACAGATTTTAGCTAAACTCAAGTGAAAATTAAATTATCTGTAACTTGCCAACTATGCATTTCCTTACCACGGGTTTTGTTTAGTCGTTACCATGACAAGTGCCTCTATGGCAACAGTTTCTCTGTAATTGATTACAGCTAAATTAAATCATCTATAATTTGGCAACCACGCAATGCCTCACCACGGGATTTGGTTTTTTTGTTTAGTCGTTACTATGTCCAGCGTTCTTATGGCAACAGTTTCACCATAACTGATTTCGTCTAAACTAAAGTGAACATTAAATGACATATAACTTGGCAACTATGCATTTCCTCACCACGAGATTTGGGTTTTTGTTTACTGGTTACCATGGCAACGGTTGCCATGGCAACAATTTTTACGTTACTCATTTCGGCTAAACGAAATTTGACCCATATTTCTTATTAGCTTGATTTATGTCTTAAAACTTTTCTTCATAAAACTTTTATTCAAAACTTTTTTGTAAACCTATCAGGAATCTAAATATCAGTTACTTTCGTACACTCTGTATATAAATTTCGACTTATTCCTAACCTGTTTTTGTATCATGAGTAAACGAGCCATTATTATAAAAAAAAATAAAAATGTTAATATTTGAAAAGTACTCTTCCGAAATTAAAAATATTTGTATGTTTTAATCGACTCAGCTCTGAATGTAAACACCGGCAACATTGTAATAAGAAGGAAAAAAATCGATTTTTATTTTCTTTATTTTTTAATAATTTTATAATAGGTAAATCAGAACAAAAATATCGATTTGTAGAATACATCGATTATAAACAATATAGTCTTGTCATCGTGTCATCATATGATTAGTCATTGAATTTTCTACTAAAAAAATGGTGAAAACTTCCAAAATATAAAATGAAAAATTAATTGTAATAGTGTGACAGCGGAAAGAGATTTTACTCACCCTGTACAACAAATGTATAAATTTAAAATTTAATAATTTTTGATTTTGTTGCTGTTGTTACTCCCTCTGCTATTAAAGCTACTGCTATTGCTGTTGCTTCTATCGCTTCTGCTGCTTCAGCTGCCAATTGAGACCTGCGGAATTATAGGAACTCATTCTTTGCCACATCAGTTTATGATTTCATATTTTAAATTAAATGAATGTTTATAAAATAATAATTCCATCGTAACAGAAATAAGAATGATAATGACAATATGTTCATAAATAATATTATCACCTGGTAACCGAAGTCGTCAGATAGTCAGGGGAGGTGAGTTTAACCCTTGTCTTCTGCTAGGACTGCCATGTAGTGAAAGATTATCTAAAAGATGATAGCTGTTTGACGCATGTGATGCAATGCACATTTGAACAAGATGTGTAGTGCATGTAAGTCACCATAATCTGATTTAGAAACAGTGAAAGTACGCTCCTTAGAGAGAGTGATAATATCATTTGAAGAGAGTTTTTTTTTAGGCAGACTTTTAAAAATATCCATGCTATGTTGAAACCAAATGGGCAAACTTTCAATGTGTTTCTTTTAACCATTCCGACGGATCCCGTCCATGCGATGCTCTGCAAACATGAAAAATGGGGAAAATGCGGACATGAACAAATGTTATCACCCTATAGTTCTAGAGCATCCCCGGAAAATTGCTTCAGAAAGGTTTTGGAAAGAACTGGATTAAATTATTACTTTTCAGTTGAAAAAACTTCCTATACGTTTTCCAATGAAGCAGAATGGAAAGGTAAGAAGATAAAGTAATAGCTGATTTATTGTTGTTTTTACAATTTAATATGTTTTTAGGATTCTTTACTTCTATTAATACAGCGTTGCCCAACATTCCTGATGAGGAATTGGAAGAATACAAAGATGTCTTTTTAAACTTAATTGAAAACCACGTTTTAATTGATGGTATTGACAAGGGAACTAAAATAATGAACTTTGATATATGTGTGGTGTCTGCAAGTAAAATATCTAGTTAACATAGACACATTATAAAATAGACCTTTCGTGTTCCAATTTACTTTATGTCAGATTTTATTAATGCTGTTATTGTTCCATGTGTATTTCATTTACTACAACTTTTAAATAATACGTTCATAATTATTTAATTATCCTTCACATCCTTGTTCGTGAAAATAAAGATAACCATAAAATTTTACGTCACTCTCTATCGCTGCTTGCCTACATTACTCATTACCAATTGTTGTGTCGCGTGATTCACATCTTTAAACCGACCACATTCCAGCGATTATAGAAATATGGGTAAAAACTAAGGTAGGAAAATAATGTTTTTCTTTTTATTTAACTGATTTTTAGCTTGCAGAAGATACTACTTTATGTGTAAATTTCTGCATTTAGACGACAAATAAATATATAGAAGATACTACTTTACGTGATAACGGAGCAGTCATTCATAAAATCCGTCTGCAAAACGAAAAATGCTACTTAATGTGCAAATTTCGTAAAACTTTGACGAGGGCAGATATTACTTTATGTGTAAATTCTGCATTATAGACAAAGACATGTACAAAGGAGGCTACTTTATGTGATAACTATGATCTTATACTAGTACAGGTTTGAAAATGGTTTTTTTCATAATTTAATTGATTTTTAGCTTGCAGAAGATACTGCTTTACTGTAAATTTCCGAATTTAGACGACATATAAATATGCAGAGAATACATTATTCATATAAGCCGTATGCAGAGCGAAAAATGCAACTTTATGTGCAAATTTCGCAAAACTTTTGTGGCGGAAGATACTACTTTATGTGTAAATTCTGCAAATAACAAATAACTATACAGTGGAGGCTACTTTATGTGTTAACTCTGATCCAATTCTTATAATCTGTAAACTTGGCTAACTGCAACTCGAAAAATACTACTTAATGTATAAATTTTGTAAAACTTTGGTCGAGAAGATACTATTTTATATGTAAATTCTGCATTCAAACCAAATAAATGTAAAGAGAAGGCTACTTTATGTGTTAACTCTGATCTTATACTCATAAACTGTAAACTCGGCTAACTGCAACTCGAAAAATGCTACTTAATGCGTAAATTTTGTAAAACTTTGGCCGAGAAGATAATATTTTATGTGTAACTTATTTAAGCCAAATAAATGTACAGAGAAGGCTACTTTATGTGTTAACTCTGATCTCATACTTATAAACTGAAAACTCGGCTAACTGCAACTCGAAAAATGCTACTTAATGTATAAATATTTTAAAAATTTGGTTGAAAAGATACTATTTTATGTGTAAGTTCTGCATTGAAGCCAAAATCTACAGAGAAGGCTACTTTATGTATTAACTCTGATCTTATACTTATAATCTGCAAACTTTGCTAATTGCAACGCGAAAAATACCTCTCAATTTGTAAAGTTTGTAAAACTTTGGTCGAGAAGATACTATTTTATGTGTAAATTCTATATTTAAGACAAATAAATATAATGTGTAAATTTCGCAAAACTTTGGCCACAAAAGATAATATTTCATATGAAAATTCTGCATTATAAACAAATAAATGTACAAAAGTGGCTGTTTTATATGTTAAATCTGATCTTATACTTATAAGATGCTAGTCCGGCTAACCGCAATGCGAAAAATGCTACTTAAAGTGTAAACTTCAAAAAACTTTGGAAGCAGAATGTAGGTACTATGTAAATTCTGCATTATAGACAAATAAATGTCTGGTAACTCTGGTCTTATGCTTATAAAGTGCAAGGACGCAAAAATGCTACGCAAAGCTCATTGATTATATTACTGTATGGGTAAATCCTGCACCTTAAAAAAATGCCCCTTTATGTGCACATGAATTAGCCATTGATTAAATATAGATTTAAGTTGATTCAGAATTAGAATCTAAGGTATATACATTAGACTCGCCATCTTCACCAGAACAGATGTTTAAATAGTAAGGATCAAATTCAGTATCAGGATATTCTGGGAGCGGATCCTAATAGCAACATCTCTCTCGGAAAACTAATTAACGAAGAAATGGTAAAAAGTTAGAAAAATATTTGCAAGGCGGTTTGGAGAATGGCAAAATATCAAAGTTTCTTTGCGAAATCAAAATCTGGAATACTTTCACTTGGGTCCCCCACCTTAAACTCCGAACCAAAAGTTTAGTGACTAGTCACGTCATCAAATAAAACCGACAGCTATTTATATATGCTGCAAGACCAACTTGAAAGGTGAAATTAAAAAAAAACCCAAAGGACGAACCAACAAGTATTCAGAAAAACAGAGAGGGGAGAAGAAGTTATTAGGGAAGGAAATAAAGGTAAGAGAGATTGCTCGTAGACTGAATAAATTTGTAAAACATGTGGGCTAAATTAACTGATGATAAGAAGGTCCTCAGATATGTTAAAGGTTTTAAATTAATCTTTAAATTACAAAAGAGCTTTTTTCACCAAAGGATGTTTACTCTTAGAGAAAAACTAACCTACACACTTCATTAAAAAAAAGTACTTAACAGATACATAGATTCTCGCATTTCAAACTGGAAGATCTCAGGTCTGCCCAGAATATTTTGTTACAGGACAATTTTGTCAAAAATTAAATTAAAGGATGCCTCTTATCTCATATCAATACATAAAAAATAAGGAAAGTATTAAAAAAAAAAAGAAAATAACTTACAAATTTGAGTGTCTTACATTTGGTTTGACCATTTGCTCCATATGTTTTTGCAAACACTTTAAAAGCGGTAGTGCATCAACTAAGGCTTTTGGAAATAATCTTAATGATTTCATAATTACATCTTAATCTAGTGATGAATGTTTCAAACATTGTAATACAACGGTTGATTCTTTACAATCTCTATGACTCATCATAAATTAAAAAAAATTGTTTTTTATCTAAAGTGTGCGAGAACTCGATTGTTACGTAATGGGAAACTCAACCATCCCATGTTATAAAAAAATAAATAAATAAATAAATAAATAAATAAATGCTTTTTACGGTACATGTCAACTTTAAACCTAGTTATTCACTGCAGCAAACCTTCATTTAGAACTCCTTATAACCAGAGTTCTACCCTAGCTCTCATTATAAATAGTACCTAACTTTCATTATGGAAATTCTGAATAATAAAAGAAAATGTATATTGGGAAATCTCTAAAAGGGTCATCCTATTTTGCCAAAATGTATATAAACTTGAGATCAAAACCCATTTTTAAAATACTTCAGCAGTTTCTTTCACTTGAAAAACTTAAAACAGCTAAGAGCCAAACTTGTTATGCTTGCAGCCCAACGGGTATAGACCTTCTCAAAAATTAAAGTTGAAAATGTCAAGGTGAAAGTTAACAATATACAAATTTTCATTGATGAAATGCTAAAACGAGCCCAGCCTTTATTAGTACATTTTTAGATATTTCTCGAATATTTCCCCTTCTTCTATTACTCGTACCTTTACTCATGACGACCGCAGCACGCTGTAGGGTGATGGGTGACATACTTCTTCTTTTATTCGTATTTCCTATAACACCCGCAAGCTACTGCAGGGTGCTACGTAACATTGCTCCCTCCTCTCTAGTTATTCGACCCAAATAACTTCTCCTTTCGTCGTCCTCTGGCTTGATAGTGGTTGCTCGAAGAGTAATTTTATCAACCGGTTCCTTCCGTTCTTCTAGCCTTTTACTGTACCGGCATTGTCTAAACAAGGTCGCTCATGGAGAATGTCTGCGTTTCTAAGAAGACCTCTTCGATTCTCTACTTCCTGATTATTGCTAGAGAGCTAGCTCGATGTGGGTAATTGGCTTCTTCGAGACGCATATCTGCTGTAATTATTTCTTGTTGGACTTCGTGACGGGCTTCAGAAGAATAATCTGTGACTTTCCGGTATCATTTCTTGATTCTCAATTTATAGAATGAGCCCTGCTTTTACATGTTCTTTGAAGGTGCCCGATTCTTTTGCAATTGAAGCATCTCCTGATTTAATTTTGGCTGTTCCGTTGCATATTTTGCAAGATATTTAAGATCTGTGAGAGGTAAGGTTAAGGGAATATTGGCCTCCTCTATCTATCTATCAATCATCTGAATTAGGGCGTGGTTCAAAGCTCACTTGTACTGAAGCTCTAGGCTTATTGTACCCCTCTCAGTTTCTATCCCATCAGATTAATTTTCTTGATGAATTAAAGAATATGTCTGATGGGCGCTTTCGTGATTTCTTAAGGTTATGGATATTGTACCCCGAAGTATCATTCCCGTTCCCATTTAAGGTTCCGACAGTGTCATAGTATGTGAACAGGAGTTTCGTCCTCCTCTTTACATATTCTACACAGGGAGTTATCAGATATCCCTAAGAGATTTAGGTGTCGCAGTGTCCCGTAAGGAATTCTATTACGGCCTTAAGTTCGCATCTGTTGAGGTTTAGCAATTAATTTGGTCTGCTTGTGGATGGCCGCTCTATGAATGTTTTGAACTGTCTAAGTCCAAGAAATTCCAACCAGAGCATATGGTGTTCTCTATTTTTTTGTTCCTTTAACACCCATTTAATATGTTGGTATGAGATACCACATGTGGGTTCTGGTCCAATGAGAGTTTTTTCCGCTCCCTTGCTAGGAGGTCTGATTTTTCGTTTCCAAACACTCCCTCATGTTCCGGCACCCATTCAAGGGTGACCTTGTTATGTTCTGCCAGGGCCTGCAGGGATTGTTGGCAATTAAGTATTGATTTAGTTTGTTCTGCTACCCTTTTCAGTGATTTAAGGGCTGCCTGATTGTCTGTTATGAAAAAGACCTTCTTATCTCTAAAAGAGTAATATAGCATGACTTTGACGCAGGCATTTATTGCTGTTACTTTAGCTTGAAAGACTGTTGTCAGTGACCTCAGGTTCAGACTAATGGTCATCCCTGAGTTCACATGGTAGATCCCAGCTCCTGTCCTATTTTTCACTTTCGAACCGTCTGTATACCAGATTGATTCGTTTTGATTTTTCCTATTTTCCCGGCTTTTGGCCCTTTCTGGTATTTGAATATTGGTAGGTTTCCTGAAGTCGTAAATAACGGGCGTTCTATCCGATGGCATTCTTACCTAAACTTTTACATTAATTCAACTAATAACATTATCGTATAAAGTCTATCATAAAACTGCCTCCTTGAAGTCAGGATCACCGCCTTATATAGCTTGCTTTAACCTTCTCGAAC